GAGGAAAATTCATCCACAAGGAGGGAACAAGAAATATCACGGCTGTGAGACACCTAGGTTGTTCACAGAATAGGTGGAGTGCAATCTCTCACTATATATGTGAATTTCAGGACAACTCAAGAAAAGCTGCTAAAAACGACGACCTTCGTCGAGGGAAAAGAAAAACTTGTGGCCTTCAATTAACTTAGGTGGTCCAAAATGAGCAGTGGATTACAGTGCAAGGTTCTTAAGAAAGGATGTAATTTGATTGAAACTGAATGCAAGCGAACATGTCCATAAAAATAATATCACGTCAGGCTTCTATAATTATATGTGGAAAAAACAAAAGTCATCGACACAATGTAAAGGTTGGTAAAACGAATTCGGTTCACAGTCAATCACAATCACTATCCGTTATGTTACAAATGCGAGGTACACTTCTTTTCGTGAGCCTGATGTCGCAGTTCGGATGGGCCAAGGCAGATTTAACGTCTGAACGAGCCGTTTCTGAACACACAACTCCGGCTCGTACAGTGAAATCGCGATGGCCTCCGAGAATTCAAGCAAATGCCTACGAAAGCAATTTGATCGATTGGCTGGTACCTGATAGATCAATTTGAATGACTCAGCAAAGCTGGTGGTAGTTGGAGAAATATGGGTTTTATCTGGACTGTACCATACAAGGGAGAAATGGCGGCTGAAGCCATAACTCGTCGCTTTTCTCATGCCCCCAGACACAGTTTCTCAGTAGCTAAACTGCAAATCAGTTCGCCGGTAAGCTAATGGTTAGAACCAGCCCCAAAGACAAGAGGCCCGTCCACGCCAAATTAATGTGTATTTACTCGTTCTCCGGTTCCTGTGCGACAAAGTACATAGGCCGAACGACGAGGCGCCTCTTTGAAAGGGTGCAAGAACACCATCCGGCTTGACTCTTGGCCCCTTGTCGAAAACAAACCAACTCATCCATAGCCAGACATCTCGCCAACACTGGCCACGCCACCAGCTTTGCTGAGTCATTCAAATTGATCTATCAGGTACCAGCCAATCGATCAAATTGCGTTTGTAGGCATTTGCTTGAATTCTCGGAGGCCATCGCGATTTCACTGTACGAGCCGGATTTGTGTGTTCAGAAACGGCTCGTTCAGACGCTAAAACTGTCTTGGCCCATTCGAACTGCGACATCAGGGTCACGAGATGAAGTGCACGCCACATTTGTGACCTAACGGATAGGGATTGTGCTTGATTGTGAACCGAATTTGTTTTACTAACCTTTGCGTTTTGTCAAACACTTTGTACATTTGCATGTATTTTTCCTTTGATTGATAATGATGCGACCGGTTATTTTATACCTGTGACCATGTTATCTATCTCAGCATTATCGCCTTAGCAGGCTCAGGTAATATGCCGACCTGATTGTAATATTTATGGACACGGCATTTCTCTATGAACGATCCTGGTGGCTGTGGTAATTAGCGTGGAACTTTTACCCCTAATTCGAATAAACTGAGCACGTCCAGTGAAATGTTCCCTCCGCAGGCGGACGTAGAAATTTGAATTCCGGCATCATGTGATTGCCTCAAATTGATCTCACGGTTCACATTGCCGAAACATAACTATACTTGTGAAAACATATTCTCACGTATTTGGTATTGTTGTCTTGTGATACCAGCTTTGAATGTAGAAAGTAGATGTATGCGTTTTGAGTAGACCTGAAAATACTATAAGCAAACTTGTTCGATTCATCAGAATAAGTCAGTCAGCATGTTTTCATGCAAAATCTTCCCAAGGACCTTCAGTTTTATTGAGGTGCAGGTAGGTGGCCGGTAGTTATCTGGAGCTCTCTTTGCACTTGTGTAAGTCTAGTCTTTCTCCAACAGTTGGCAAGTTTATAATCTTTAACACATAACTTGCACAGGTCAGCAAAAGTCTGGGTCAGGGAATCAGTATACACCTTGAGGACAACGGGAGAGAACCAGTCCCGGTTAGGTGCTTTGTTGGAATTTAGCTGCAGCAGTTTATCTTGACTATACTTCTGTCCCCGGCAGATAAGGATGTTGTGGCACTGTGCAATCGGCTGAATGAAAGGTAAGAAGTGGAGTTCACAATGAAACTGCACAAATTATGCCTCAATCCTTCAAGGTTCACGTCTGGATCTGATACTCGGTGACAGACTTCACCAAGTTTTTTCAGCATTCACCAGATCTTCCGACAGCTATTATTTCCGAGTATGGTCCCCACCCTTGGATAGTTTAGACTGTGCAAGACTACCTTAAATGCGATGGAAAATGATTTCATACCAACGTCGTCTTTCTATTTGAACGCTTTTCTTTGAATCTGTGTAAACGTTTTGGGTACGGAGATGACAAGTATTGCGCCCAGATGAAAATGGTTTCCAGTGGACAGCTGAAATCGGAACGGAAGTTGTGATAGCTCACAACTGATCGCAGTAGGTAGATACACCAGCCTCGAGGAGTATACCAAAGTCTGTAAATGCCATCATTTCTTGATATATTTTGAAGTGAATACTGTCTTTTTTAAGTCTGCAATGTTCATTGCGACTAGCCCCCTTACCTTCCTGTAGACAACAGTAGAGAACTTGACCTTTAAATGATCAGAGCTGCCAATAAGTGTCTGATCCTTTGCTTGGTACGAACTATGCAAGTCCTAACAGAGCAACAGTAAAATATTTGATCCCTTTAATCATCGTGAAACCTGCACTGTAGCACCGAATTTAGCATAGGGGTTCCATTTTACACTTGGTGCACACAGTTTGGCCACTTGTATCCGTCACGATTTTTGCCGAAACAGCGTAGGCTGTTGTTGTCGGTTGGATCATTTGACTCAGATCCTCGGCCAGGCTATGAACACTTGAGGTAGTGACAGCAGTAACAAAATCAACCACGTAGGTTTCGGATCTCGAAATTGCACCGTTCTCTTCATACGGAACAAACGTGTGGCTTGCTTTTTTGTTTCGGTCATGCGAAAAACGCTTATATGTGTGTGTAGGTGCCCAAGAGCTTGGATTTCATCAACTATTGTTGACGTGCCTGATTGTGTGATAGATGTTGGACAACGCGCTTGTGAATGGTGGGAGTTTCAAGATTCCAAGTTGAAGTGTAAACACCCGGTTACTCATGTTTTTCAATGCAATAGCTTTTTTGAAGTGAATTGTTCGCTCCGACTGTTGTGTCCCCAATTAACGGGGTCAGTGCGTACAGTTTCCGAGCTGCGTACTCTGTGTAACAAATAAGGACTATCACTGGTACCTTTACACAACACAAAAGTATGTAGTAGAGAGACAGAAAGTAGTTATTGGATGCAACAGAACTTAGTCAGAGAAAGGTGCCGGAAGTGTCGGCCCCCGCTGGAGTTTCCAATAAGCCATCCACTGCCTCCGGATCTTGTACTGATCAACAGCCACTCAGAACAGCTCCATGCAAACTGTACTTCGAATGTCCGAGTAAGCAGACTGTACGGTAAACCGAAAGCGGATACAGACATGGTTCAGCCGCTATTCGGAAGAGAATATCTGCGTGTTGCTAAAAGGTCTCGGTTAAAGCGACTCAGGGGAGTGTGCGATGAATTACGGCGTTTGTGGAGCACCGGTCTCAAGGCATTAATACGAATACTTTAACTAACGAAGTTACTTTTGTTGCTGTTCTATCAAGAATGGCGGAGGTGATGACCAAATTAATTGGTATTTAGTATGACAGCTATTTCACCGTCCGGAAAGCAGAAGACTGGATTGTTCTCATCAAAGGAATCAAAGCTAAGTCAAGTGTTGTGGTTCACTTCATGGATGCCTGTTAGGCAGCTAAGAGCTTTCAAAAGCCATCAAAGTGGAATCGTATGAAAGGTGCGGCTTTTTGTATACATCTATAAAGAAAATGGCTTGGGGCACATTAGGCTCCTAAGAAATAAAGGTATGGTGGAAGATGTCAAACTATTCGCTTAAGTCTACTTCTCTTGGAACATTTATGACTCAGCCAGTAGAAATAACAGTCCCGGAAGGAATACAGCCCATATGCGTGCCCTGCGCATGCCTGAACCGCAATAAGTAAAATAACGCAGGAATTACGAGTTATGGGGATGGATTACCCCTGTTGCATCGAAGTAAATGCAGTCCTTCAACACCATACCGTGTACTCACTTAGAGGTTAACTTGTTACACAGAATCGGCCGTCTAGTTCTCTGGGATAGCTTTTCATCCTTACGGTATGAGTCTGGTGTAGTTCGTAGGCACTGTTAAGCATGGCTGGAACTTAAGCGCACATTTGATCAACGATTTGCTGCTGTTCATACGCTCCCACAACCCAGTCGGGCTATGTGATCTCACATTATGCGGGCCATCGCAGTATTGAGAACAGATTGGAATCAGACAGTGGTCGGCCTTTTACTTGTGATGGCTAGAAAAATCTCTCCAGTTTTTCAAACAGATATCGTTATGTGTACATTTGATGCAAGTGCTGCGTATACAGTCAATAGAAATTCCTAACGAATTAAAGCCAGACGACTTGCAGGGGTCTTCGACGAAGAACGACCAGGTTGCGGCAGTGACAGGTTGGGCTAAACAGTCGGAGCGTATGATAGTGTATACCGCCTCAAGGTTTTCTTTTCGATATTCCACACAGCAGATAAACTTAAAACTGATGCCTGCATGCTCACTACTATATAAGGGCGGTCTGTAACCAATACATCAAGCATATGTTCCTCTTTGGGGAACACAAGATATAGCACCGATGACCTGTTACTTGTTCTGAACTGCGTGGGTAAAAAGACGTGCTTGTGAAGCGGAACACTGGTACCGAGCACTCGTAGATCAGCTGTGAACTGTGCGTCGATCGTGGCAGAGGTTTCTAAAACATTTAGTTGAACTCACCCATGCTAAAAGGTGTGTATTCTATTGAGAGTGCGTCTTAGTCCAGTCGCATAGCATTAGTCCATTTCGGGAGGGGATAAACCAAGAGGAGAAAGAGAAACAAATCTCTAAATCAAGCACAAGGCGTGATCAAGAAACTCACAAGGCTCGATAGATTTGATGGGACGAGGGACGTTCTCTTTGAATTGTCCGACAACGTTGCCCGCGGGGAGATAATGTCCGACTACGTAGATGGATTTGCCATCCGAAGACCTGGCGCTGCCAAACCCAGCTTTAGTGGTTCCCTTCCAGATCACCTGGGTGAAATGACCTAAAAAGCACAGAGAATATGAATATACATTTATAAATTACCTCTTTATTGCGTTTAAGCTGGTCAGAGGCGTGAGGAAATCAGTTTGAATTATACCTATGCAGCTTTCCAAGTTCGGCAGCAGAGTGTACATACTAGCGCGGATTACTTCTGCGGTTTGGTACATATATGTAAACGCAACTATATCCAGGAGAGGATATCTGCTCTTTACTATAAAGATGTGCAGGCTGACGGGATGAGATTATGCTAGCATTGAGGAGGGGAAGTTGTGATAGACAATTAAGGAATAAACCTGTTATTGACTCTTATTCAGACCGGGTGCTGCTTTACTTTGAAACAAGGGTGGGCATTTTTTGTTGTAAGGTTGACAGTGCACTATTACTTCATGTACCGTAACAACTGGAAAAACGTATAAACATCTTCAGTGCGTCCTAATGTAAGTTCAGCTAGTCCGTTAGCTTATGACTAGAGGAGTTGCCAGACCTTACATCGTGTACCTGATAAAGTATCATATACGAGCAGGCTCCCATGCTATAGTAGGTTGACGGTCCTTGAATCGGTGGTACAGCTTAAGTGTTAAGAACTATGCCGTAGAACCGTATTTATGCGATGCTCGCTTGTTGTTTTCTGTTATGATCGCGGTTAATCAGGCCTAGAGCCATCAGAACAAAGACTTTCAAGTCACCTGCAACGGGCAAGACAGTCGACAAGATAGGTTAAGGGGAGAGTGTCAGTCAGGCGGCGGCCTGAGGCATAGAAACAACAGTAGGCCAGTGGGTGAGAGTGAAGTTCACGGTCAGGTGTGTGGGACGACATTGTACTTTTAAGGCACCGGTTCGCCTGGTGTAACATCCAGTTTGAAAATACGTTCTCCAGACTCATACGAATGAAGTGCTGGGTTCACCTCGAAACGTCGGATCGGTTTAGTTGTCCGCCTAGGTCTCCGAGTGACTCTTCCGCATAGTTGTGTGCGCGTTTCCGTCGACTCACTAAGCTCCACAGTTTTTGGTATTTCAAACAGCTCAGTGGTCTCAACCACGGAGTGACAACAGTCGAGTTGCGGGTTCGAGCCCTACTAGGGTCCGATGGAATGCGCAGTGCTGACGATTCCCGAAAGGATGAAACGCGCGTACAGTGCTTTTCCGGGCGTGTGATGGCTGTCTGAGTGAGTCTAGATGTGACGAATTTCTACCTATACCATTCAACTCCCCCTACTACTCCTCTGTATTTCAAACATGTCCAGCAGTATATCGAAAGGAAACTCGAAAGCATAAGTGACTGTGTGTTCGATCCTTCGTTTGCGTAACTGATTAACTTACCGGATGAGAGACAATGGTCAAATAGACACCTCGTACAGCACGTCTTTCTTTTTCGCACCACTGCAGTTTGCTAGGTTTGGTGGTTCGGCCTTGTATCCAACGCGTACACCGTCTTCCCTGGTAGAAAACATCTGCTCACTCCTGATGCGAGTGGCCGTTGTCTAACCTTAAGGCGTACTGCATCAATCGGAGAACGTATCTCACGCCCGAACATGGCTTCCGCTGGGGATCTGCCGCCTGGTACAGCGGGGTCAGGCGTAACTCGATAATTTAACAGGAACAGCTGTATGATCTCCTCTGTCGGTCCTACCCCGGCAGTTTTAGTAGTGATCTTTGAAGACATCCACGAGTCTTTCTGCCTGCCCGTTGGATTGGGGATGCTTCGGAGGCGACCGGCAGTGCTTGATACCATTACGCGGAGATATATTACGAACGGTTATCGGAAACCAAGGTGTTTGGTGAACCGAACTGTGCAAATAACTGTTGTAGTTTTCGTACTGTGGCCGCGGTCATGGTTGTCTTCATCAGGTATACGTCCGGGCACTTCATGTACGAAGCAACTATAATCAAATAGCATTGGCCTTGCACTGGACTATCGAAATCAACATGAATTCTATCCCAAGGCTTAGAGGATGGCATCCAGGGCTGAATGATTTTGTTTGGAAGTTTCGCTACTGATGCACAGTTGCTACATGTCGCGACACAATCATGGATAGCGTTATCAATAAAAGGCCAGTAAACGTAACTTCTAGCCAAAGCTTTCATCAGTGATATTCCTGGGTGATGTGGGCGCAAATATCTTAATACCCTTGCCTGCAGGGACTTCGGAATAACCATGCGCTCACCGAACAGAACACAATCATCAGCTAGTGCTAACAAGTCACGTCGACGATAAAATTGTTTAAGGTGTGCGTCAGTAATCTGGTCTTGCCACTTTGTTTTTAAAATACGAATAACGTTTTGTGTGTTTCTGGACGTCCACAGAAGTAATCGGGAGAGCTCTGATTGAATTTCACAGAAGCTGTTTCACGTCCGATTCAAGCGCAACTGACGCGATCACCTGGTCTTCTTCTGTGCTCAGCAGTTTTGTGATACGTCGAGATAGCTCATCGGCGTAGCTGAAATCTGCCGTAGGCACCTGAGCTATTGTAAACTTATATCCGAGTAACGGTGTCGCCCAGCGTTGGAAGCGATTCACCGCCTACACAGGTATACCCTTCTTTGGACTGAAAATGGCTAATAATGATTTATAGTCTCCAATACGAACTCTCTACCATGCAACATCCGAGGAAACATTTTGACAGCAAAACTTAAAGATAGTGCCACTTTCAGGACCGATTATTTTCTTTCAGACTTCGTTAAAGCACTTGATGCCTAGGCAACCGATCTCAAGGTGTTAGAGTCGAAACGCTGACGGAGAACTGCTCCAACGCCGTAACTAGAGGCATTTGCGGAGACAATGCTATCTGCTTTTGGGTCATAATGTGCTAGCATTAAGTAAGACACAAGATTTCTTAATGAGCCTAAACGCTTCCTCACATGTTGATGACCAAACACGGGGTCGATTTTTCCCCAGCAACTCATTCATTGCCCCGGAAGTCGGTGCATATCAGGAATAAATACACTGTAATAACTTACCATGCCCAGGAACGATTGCAAAGTAAGTATAGCGTGTGATGCAATTCCTCGATGACGCGCATTTTTTCTATATCAGGTCTTCGCCCATCACGGTCGACAATAAAACCAAGGTAATTTAGTTGAGGCATAAGCAAATAGCATTTATCAGCTCTCAGAGTAAAACCATATCCCCGTTGGCGTTCGAATAACTGCCTGAGGTGAGAGCTTTGATCGGTTCTGTCTGTTGATGCGACGATAATATCATCCAAGTATGCACAAGCCGATGGTATGTTCGCTAGCATAGTATCCATCAGTTGTTGGAAGAGTCCCGGAGCAGCGTTCACTCCGAACGGTAGCCGATTGTATTGATACAGACCACGGTGAGTGATAATTTTAAGAAGACGCCGTTCTTCATCATCGACTACCACTTGAAGATAGGCATCCGAGTGATCAAACTTTGAGAAAACGCGACTGCTGTTGAGTTTGGCGAAAAGATCCTTTGGTAGTGGCAGTGGGTATTAATGAAGATTTAGTGCTACGTTCAGGCCGGTGGAATACTCTCCGCATAGGTGAATGTTTCGGTTCGCCTTTTTCACTGTCACTATAGGCTTTGCCCAGTCTAAGTATTCCACTTTGGAAATCACCCCTAATTGCTCCAAGCGATCCATTTCATTGTCAACTAATTTAAGAGACGCATACGGCAACAGTCTGCTGGGTCGAAAAACAGGCTTTGCGTCATCTTTTAGATACAGAGTTGTCGTGAATTTGGTACAAGAGCCAAGTGTAGGTTTGAACACTTCTGGAAATCGCTTCTACATATGGTCAGCGGCTGTAGAACTCCGCAATGGGTAGCACTTTGATAACAACTTTGGACCGGATGTGCTTGATGTGTTTGATCGCACACAGAGTCAAGAAGAGCGCTCGGCAGATTCAACGCGGTTATCCAATCAATACCAAGTATGTTTAATCCCGGGTTGTCAGAAAGGTGACAGATGCTAGGTTGCTTATCGTTTTTCTAAACATATTCACAAGAAAAATTACCATATATCTGTAGGATACTGTTCGATACACCCCTTGCGGTATTTTCCGCATTACACAGTATCAGTCTACCGATAGCTGAACAAGTCGGGCTGGAGATGATAGTAATGGCAGATGCGGTATCCAGCGGTAGGCGCACTGAGTGACCATTAATAGTGACAAACTTACAAAATGAAAGAAATCCTTTCTGGGCAGTTGCATAAACCACATTAGACTCCCATTTGATTCCGCGTTGTTGTAACGGTTTTAATTGATCTTCACGATGAGGACGTCTTGTGGTTGATCGGCAATGCGTTTCTTTATGGCATTTCTTATAGCAGACGGTGTACTGTTGATTGATTAACGGACAGCTTCTGGAAAAATACCACTCACCACAATTGCAACAAACACGTGGTGGTTTCTGTCGTGCTGTGTTGGAGACGTCTGTCGGTGTTCGGATAGAAATTGTATCAATCATCGCAATCTCTGACGTCAGTTGTCTCGACTGTAACATTGGTCACTTTTTATGTTGACCAGACGCTGACACTCTGCTCTGACGTCTTGAATGGTGAAATCTAGAGATGAGTCCAGGTTGGATAACAGACCTATTCTGGTTTCTGCGTCAGCTATAGAGAGCAAGCCAGCTACAAAATGATTGGCTTGAACTAATCATCTGTAAGTTGATTGAGCTTAAAACATTCGCATGAATGGTTCACTCTGCCGGAGTATGAAACATAATCTTCGGATTGGTTCTTAACCATCTTCAAACACAGGTAAGGAATGTTGCAAATTAAGGAGCTCTCGCCAGAAATCGAAGTGAGGACCTATACAGTCTCCTGGAAATTGCACTTGCAGGGAATGTTTCAGTAGAATGAAATTACAGTACTGCCTGTGTTCTTTTACGCCTAGCTTCCGCAGCAACAACCGTACTTTGGTCGCATCGTCAAGCGTGATCACGTGTACCAGAAAGATGTTTTCATACTTCCTGCACTAGGTTGAGAATGTGATGCCGTTCTCTGCGTCATATTGGAAATCTTGCATTCCGTT